AAACAAAATGCTTAGCTTTCATTTAAGAGACAATATAATTAAATGGCAAAAGACTAATAAAAGCTGTTTAAAGTCTCATGGTTTTGGAATTACAAATAACACTTCTATCTACATAGCTTTCTTCTCTCTTTTTCACTGAATCCCTCTTTCCCCCTTCTAAAATAATACATAAAAACCAAATGCAAAAAATGTTCTATGTAAAAGGATGCTGTCAGACATTCTAAAGTTTGCTGAAGTTTGTTCATAAATAAATGGAGTGGCATTTAACTTGATTACTTCCCTCTACCAGGGAAGGCTTATGCCACTTAATTTGCTACTTATTTTATGCTGCCTTATCTTCAGGTTTTATTTCCAGAATTACAAACATATTTCCAAATTTTTAAAAAAAAAAAAAAAAAAGTTTAGAAAAAAATTGATGAAACTGGGTTTCTGTCAACTTAAAAACCAAAACCAAACCCCAAACAAATTACAAACCTCTCCATAGCCCAGGAAAACCATAGAACACATAATCTGGATTAGAAAAAGTCTACACTCTGTCACCATACCCACAAGAAACAGAAAGCATTGATTACCCCAGAGCAGGAGCCCCAGGTAGCCCGAATTCAATCATGTAAGTAAGGTCTGGTTCTTCAAAGAGTTTAGTACTCCTGCTTATTGGTGATAATTGAGCAAGTACTGCAGCAGAATGGAGGATATCTTCATTTATAATATAAAATTCTCATGATTTTTTTATCGTTGCCACAGAAGAGAGGCTGTTTTTAAAACTCTAAAAGGTTAGAAAATGGTGAGTTTGTGAAAAAGAAAGACTTATCAAAGGTGATCTTCATGCTGATATTAAAGCAGTAGGTGAGACTCACCTGTGTGCCTTCATCATAATTACAATTAGAGTAATTGTTCTCAATTTGCATTCAGATTTAGAGTAATTGTTCTCAAATTGTATTCAGATTAGAGGCTGCCTTACTTTTTACATGTATATTACTGTAGTGAAGGATACTGCCTCCCTTCCTCCCTTGAAGTCTGATCCCGTTTGAGTCACTTAAAATATCTTCTGCAAATTTTGAAGCACAGCTTGCAAAGCAAACCCTGTGATGAGGTGGCATCCATTTGTATCACAGTGAACTTTAACTCTACATTAAACTAACAGATTGTAGACATTTCTTGTCTGTATGTACGGCTGCAATTTAAATTGTGTTTTCAACAAAGTACTGGTTTTTACATTATATTTTCATTCAGTTTTTTTTTTTTTTTTTCCCAGATATCAGAAAGCAGGGGACTGGTAGGCAGAAAGAATTCTTTGCCAAAAATCTGGCTTGAATTTTTGGATGCCAGTTCCTTATGATGGTGTGTTTGCCATGTGGACATTTGCCATGTGGACAAAGCCTTCACTGCCTAATCTGCAACTCTGCACAGTAACAACCGAGTATTGACCGTATCGATAATCAGTATCAATAATCTCAATAATTGGCACTGGCATCAACCTAGGATTTTCAAAAAACATGATCCTAAAGCACTATAGCACCAATTTTTGTTTCATATATAGCTCTGACCCTAGAACACAACATTAAACATTTGATAAATGGCAGAATTCTCAATAGAGGTTATATGCTTAATCTTGCAAACTGTCTTCAAGGAGGTAGCAGGAGATATTTGGATTTACAGCCACTCAGCAGGATGCAGACAGTGCAGAGAAGGCAGCTGCAGAGTATGCAGATTGCATAAACTGGCCTGTAATTTTAAATCCAGACAAGACTTCTGTTTAGTTAAATCCTTAAAAGAGAGCAAGCAAAAGATAAATGTTTGAAGGAGACAATAAAATTCTGCTTTGTAGTTTTGTACTAGCTCTCAGTATATTACTTTGGCTCTTAGAAACACACACATTTTGCACTGTTTTCTAAAAATTTTATTATAATCTGACTGTTACCATAGAATGGAGAACTAATTTCCCAATGTTTGTGTTGCATAACACCTATTTCAGCACATCCTTTTGAAAGTGAACCACAGTTTAATAACACATTATCTCCATAATTTCGCCACGCAAAATTATTTTCTGGACTTGCAAGACTTATTTCTAAAGTAATTCTAAATTGCTTCTCCTATTTACTACTATTTATTTTCATGCTTTTACAATTAAAAATGTCATGTCCACTAAAAAAAAATCTAGCTAAAGTTTAATAAGGTCTTGATGATTCAGCTTCAGATACTGAAAGCTGCTAGGCACCATCCCTGAAGTCAACTTCCACCTTAAGTGGTTTTAAGTCCATTTTGCTTGTTTCCTTCTTTTTTTCACAGTTCTTCTGACATACGCATCAGTTACCTTTGCACAATTTGAGTGGTTTTTATGAAAAGCAAACCTCCAGCCAAGAAAACTGCTGGATCACGTATGCCCTTTGGTTATTTTACTGTTTCAGTTTTTAACAGAAATAAATGAATGCCAAAGAGTAGGCTTTGAGAACACAGGATTTGGTTGTTACTGAAAATGAGATGTAAAAGTACAAATTACAATAATTAACATATATCAGTATTCAGAGTTTCATTTACTTTCCTTTTGCCATGAAAATTTTCAACAAAGATCTTCCTGAATCAGCTGAATAAACCAGCAATTTCCCTGTATCAGAGGTTTTAATAAATATAAGGTATTTTATAAGCCAGAGTATGGGGCAACATATGAATTCTCATTCCAAAATAATTGTCACATTTGCCAAGTAACTACCATGTGAGAATAAGTCAAAGTTTCTCTGTGGAAGTGAGAGAAGAGGAAAATATGCTGCAGATTAATAAATGCAGTAGATTTGACTTGGTATGTAAAATTTAAATACTTTTCCTGAAATTTACTGGCCAGAAAATGTTTCCAAATGCAAGCTAATAGTTGATTTCCCAAATATTCTACTTTGTTATCACCATTGTTATCACTAACCTTATAATTTCTGAAACCTCTCACTCTTTCAACGATCTAACCAAATACAGCTGGAGTTCCTAGTAAATAATCTAATCCAGTAATCTAATCTAATCTAATCATATTATAATGCTAAGGCAAACACTGGAGCATAGAAACCCTCAGAGGGCTGTTTGGTTTGCTTGACCAGTTCCTCTAAATTCTGCTCCTTTTTTGCCTTCCTTCTGCCATCCTTCCTCTTGCCTTTGCTTTTCTCTTTACTGTTCCATTCTCATATTTTCATTTGTGGCTTCTGTATCTCATACCATGAGTATAGGAAAAACCAGCTCCCTCAGCAGCAGTTTAATAACTGCTTTCTTTCAATTCAGCATTAGGTAAGCGTGGGATGTACCATTAGCAGATGAGCTAAGATGAAACCCTGCAAAGATGTTCATCATGTCTTCTGATGCTCACCAAAGTTAACTTGGTGGAAAAGATACTCCAGTCCTATAAAGGACTGAACACGTAATCATTCCAAAAAAATTGTCTCCATTTGAACCTCCACAGTTTCCATTTAGCAAGAGCTGACAAAGCTACAGCTAGGTTCTAGATAGGACTGCCCTAGCAGATCCATTTGTTCCAGCCCCCAGTGTTTAGTCCTACATTTCTACCAACCAATCCATGTTGATTCCAGGTGGATAAAATCTGTCTCAACAAAAGGTGCTGCATACCCAACCACTAAATAAAGTGAATACAAAGTTTTCCCTTCACCTATTCCAGAGAGAGTTAACTAGAACTATAAACCAGTACTTTCATATCTTTAGGCAGTTGACTCTCTTCTCTCCTCTGCCTCTCCCTCTCTTTTCCTCCCCTTCTCTCTCCTCTCCTTTCCCTCCCCCTCTCCCAGTACCAAGAGATAAGTCATTTCAGTCCTAACTGGTTCAGATAAAACAGCTTTCGAGTGCCAGCCAGTTTTTTTCCTATTAAAAGCTGAAGATCATCTACCATTCCTAAACAGCTTTATCTGAACTGGATTCTCTCTCTGAATCTCATCACTCTGTGCATTTTAGCAGGCTGGCAGATTAACAAGCATGGGGCGGGGGGAGGGGGTTTCAGTCTTTCCTCATAGCGCATCGCATTGTGAGTTCTCCTGAATACACAGCAAAGAGCCTAATGGAACAGTCCCATTCCCAGTCTTTTGTCATTAGTAGCATTTACTTGCAGTTTTTATGAAAGAAAATTTTATTCTGAAGGCCACTGTACTAACATTGGAAAATATGGATGGAAGCATGAACATGCCTAGTGCTGGAAAACCAACACACAGAGAATTTACATAAACTCTTACAGCTCTATCAGCATGGTGAGTCAAGATGATGGAAAGGCTTTTTTGCAGTGACCTTTTTGTATTGATACAAACCTCTTACACAACTCAACCTCTGCATTAGCTGAAGCTGACAGGAGGGAAGGAAGTTATTCTTTCAGAGAATGCCACCTTGCTGGAGTTCATTTCGCACTATTCAGAATTCAGTTATTTACCAAGCAAGAAACAGAAATACATATAATGTACATATATAAATATATATACACGCATATGAGTGGGCTTACTAGGTAAGCACACACGTATACAGAAAGAAAGTGTAAACAATTTCACTCAGCCATAATAAAAAACTTGAGGAGCTTTTGCTAGAAATTGTGCTCCCTAGTCACTGCTGTACAAGCAGTGGGAGACTTAAGGATGCAAGAGAGTCGCAGCTCCCATACAGTATAACCCAGCTGTCCTGGAGCCAGTGACCCTCGAAGCTGGGCTCTCCAGAAGATAACCAGCCGAGGAGCAGGGACAGGCAGGCTCTGCCCGAGGCAATCTTCCCCGGGCAAGCCCTGCTGGACCCGTTTGCCACCGCCCGTCGCTCCTGCCCAGGTGATCCCGCAGCCACCGCCCCTCTGGGCCAAAAATAAGTCCCGACCCTCTGCCCCTCCAGCCTCCCACCGCCCCGGGGGTCTCCTGGGCGGCTCGGGCGTCAGGGCCTCGGTCCAATTAGCCACCGGTGCGCGCCCCCGCCCTTCCTCCGCCACTTAAAGCGCGGCGGGCCCGCTGCTGACCACATCCTCACGCAGAGGGGAGCGGCTGCGGCACCAGCAAAATCCCGGTGGTTTTTTTTTTTTTTTTTTTTTTTTTTTTTTTTTTTTTTTTTTTTTTGTTTTTTTTTTTTTTTTTTTTTTTTTTGGTTTTTTTTTTTTTGGTTTTTTCGTCCCAGTGAATTTGGAGTAGCTTTGCTTTGCATGTGACCCCCATCGTTGCTGGAGTAGCCAGCTCGCCCGTAAAGCCGCTCTGACCCGCTTGAGGCTTCCTCAGGTGGTGCAGCCCGCGGCGTGCGGATCCGGGCCGAGCCAGGGGAGCACGGCGGAGTGAGCGCGGTGGGGGCACCATGCCTGCCATCTCCGGCCGCTGCCTGGTGCGCCTGCTGCTGCTGCTGCTCTGGACCAGCCTCTCCGGCGGGAGCCTTGCAGGTAAATGTAAACTCTCCCCGGGCCGGGCTCCCTCCGCCGTCCGTGCCGGGAGGGCCGGAGCGAGGTGGACCAGAGCCCTGCCTGGGAGCAAAGGTCCTCCTTGCTCCGCAGCTTCCCCCCCTGCTCTCGGGGGACGTAGCGCTGCCCCGGCACGGTGGCTGCCTTTCGACCTTGCCTGTGGGAGCGGCTGAGGCGTTTTCTCTTAGCGGCCCCTACCCTTCCTGGCGCCTCTCAGGAGATCGGGGTTCTCCTGGGACGGCGGGGATCTGCTCTCGCTCTCCCCCAGCAGCGACGTGGTGGACGGCCGCAGATAGGCAGAGCCACATCGGCGATCAGCCGTCCCGTAGCCTCTGTACCTTCTGCCTTACGAACGAAGGGTTTATTAGCTCACAAGTGCAGGGTTGGGAAGGTGTGGTGTCGTGTCTTGTTTCTGTCCTGTTCTTACTGACTAAAGCGTTTAAATGAGAAAAACCCACAAAACAACCAGCCCACCTGCTGCCCCTCCAGATCGATAGATTACATTATTAAGGTATCAGTGTGCCTAATGAATTATGAGGGGTGCTCCTTGGGATTTGTGTTTGCGTTTTTAAGTGTAGCATTTAAAATCCATAAAGAAAGAGTGACGTGAGCTTCCTGGGCCCTGTTCCTCCTCTAGAGGCTTTCAGCAGTTCAGGAGCAGGCCAGTTCTTTCTCAGGAAATTTGATCTTATTTCTAAAACTAGTGGATTTCTGTTTTTTTTTCTTTTTTTTTTTAGGCATTGCAGATTAGTAGAAAATGGTTATATCAGGAATTACCAGATTACTGGTGTTTATTGTGCAGGGTGAGATTCTTGGGAGTAGGTCTTGGCAGGGCCAAGAGTTCTGTCCTGTCTATGTGAGCATATACCTACTTGTATAGGTATATGCATATATATAGGTATATAATTCAAGTCAATACTGTGACTTGAATTCATTGTGGATTAGCTGCATTTTCAGTGTGTGAAATACAAGCAGTTATGTTTTCTTCTGCCCTCTGGTGCACTTCCTAGTACTGAGAAGACCAGTAGTGCTCCCTAGGTGATGGTACCTTCTGTAAAGTTTCTAGTAGTTTCACATAATGTGAAAGGAAACATACTTTGCGCTTCTCAAGTCTTGTTTGAAATGCATATTTAAGTGTGTACACAGACAAAAATCTATTTTGTAGTTCTTAAGTCTTCTTTAAAATACATGTGTATTTATGTACACACAGAACTTGAAATATTTTCTAGCAGTTTACTTAATTCAGGAGTTTTTTGAGGGCAAATAGTCTGATATTTGTAGGAATGTGTGAGTCAGCATGTGGCTGATTGTCATAAGATAGTAATTTTTGATAGCTGTTAATGGCAAAACCCATACCTGATGGTGGCTGAAGCAGTTTTAAGTTTATGTAAAGCCATTGGTGAAGTGATAGCCTCTCACAGGAAGAACGAATCAAACAGCAAAACCTTCTTTGTGTTTCCAAAAACTGTGCAAGTCTACCATCTTCCTAAAGTGGAAAGGTATTGTGGTTTAGAGCGGATGTCAGAAATAAGCCACTAGCTTTAGTACTTTTCATCTGTATAGAGTAAAGGTGTTGTTTTCCAGACTTCTATTAAATGTTTTTGCAGCTGTGTGAACTAGATAGGGAGGCATCATACTATGACTTCTGTGATGATTTAAATGAAAAAATGGTGGTTTACTCTTTCATTGGTTATTAACTGTGTGTGAAGCTGGTTGAGCACAGGAACGCTCTACACAGCTGTAACAAAAGGAAGTTCATGTCACCTGAAGGGAGAAAAACTTCAAAATGTTTTCCAGTGGAGTCCAGAAACTGTGTTGTGAGGGTACTTCATCCAAAAGAAATGCTTGCAGTAAAAGTAAGCAGAGGGAACACTTGCACACAGGAACTGAATTGCAGAAAGGTGAATTGCATGATCTGTAGGCTGGTCAGGCAGATGCCCCAAAAGCCCTATTAGATTTTTATTTTGAGATAATATCTCAAAGAAGATCTTTGTTGTTCTTATCTTAGTCATGTAACCGTTCAGTTACTTGTTTTGGAAAAATCTGAACTGTTGCTTTTATTTTGCAATGAGTTAAGGGTAATTTCTAACCCAAGTGTCAGAACACTGTTGTTCGGAGTTTGCTGCTTTGTTTGGGTTACCTTTGTGGTTGCCTTAATTTAGTTGCAGCAAGTACTGCCACATTGATTTAGGACAAACAGTCCCATTACATCTGATCTCTCACTTTCTGCTCCTGAAGAATTCAAGGAGCTATGAGTATAGAACACACCTCATTCCTTACCGACTGCTTTCAAGTTGGGTTTTTCTGGTTTGACCTGAGGGAGCAGCTTTTATCAAGGTATTTGGGAGTCCTTCATGTTGATTCTCTGATGTCTCTGGGACATGAGGAGGTTCTGGTGCCTGGTTTTGGACGCTACTGAATGCATGTGAACTTAAAAAGTATGTAATTTATATTAAGTTAAACAGTAAAATAAAGATGTTAAACTAAACCAAATTGTATTTCAGCCATTTCTTACTCAGCTGCTTTTCTGGCTGAAAGAGTGAGTAGATGAAGCCTGAAATTACCCTGGTAATAGTCAGCATGGTATATCCATACTTTCTTGCCCCAAAATACTGACTGCCATGTGAAGCAGAAGTAATGTAGAAAACTAAATGCATTATATCATACTCTTGCCTATTCCTTTTCTGCATGAAAATCAAGGAACTGAGACCTGTACAAGTGCCCACGCTATTGATTAAATGTAGTGCAGAGCTACTCTAGGCTAAGGCATGCAGCCATGACTCAGTAGTTCAAGAAGTTACTCCATGCGACTTCCTTACATCATTGCCTGGCTGGATGACACTGATGGTGCAGTGCTGGCCCATCTTGATCTCCAGTGCTATTCAGCAAGTATATATGAGAGGAACAGAGTGGTGCAATGTTATCTCTGTTTTGTGTAGTTTGACATGTGGACAGGTAAGGTGAAAGATATATAAGCAGGAGTGACAAAAATAACACTGCTTGACTTCTTTCACTTGATACATGAATTAAGGAAGAAAGCCAAGATGAGAACCCTGTTAGTATGCAAACCACATTGCAGGTTATCTGCCTTCATTGCAGCGAGATAACAGAGCTGCTGTGCAGCTTTGCACTGGCACCTTCTAAATTTATAGTCTTTGGGGATTTTAATTAATGTGCAGGTGATCCATGACATACTTAGAATGCCTCAAGATGCTGCAGGTACAAAAATTCATGGACATCTTTCTTCAGTTGTATTATGAATATTAGAAAAATAATAGCTCTCCCTGCTCAGTACCTCTGTGAGGCAGAGAATAAGACTCAGTCTTTTTACTGTTTGGTTCATAAGCCAGCACATTCTCAGAGCAGATCTTTTAAGTTCTTTTTTAAACTGAAGGGCTGAGAGGGAACAGGTAGCTATGGTACCAGTGGACTGATAAAAGAATGGGCTGCTCTTAAGAACCACTAATGCTTAATTCTTTTAGTATCTTCTGACTACTGTGTTTTACTCTTGGTCCAAACTGGTTGAAGTATGATGGGCAGATTGAGAGTAGGTGGTGTAAGCCAGGCATGGCTGTGATGGAATAACTGTGTGCTGGAGGTGCCAGTGGAGAATCTATACGTTGTCTATGCCTATTGGTGCTGAAATGGGGTATAAATGTTAGTTGTAGGAAATGGCACAGTGCTGACTTCACCTTCTGCAGAAGGCATGTGGTTCTCAAGCCTGAATGCACCTAAAATGTGATGGAGCTTTTCATTGTTCTCTTAAGAGTTCAACTGGATCCATATGGGTCCCTTCCAGTTCAGGTTATTCTGTGATTCTTGTGATCTGTGCATGTTTGTTGCTTTCTTGGATGTACAGAAGAGTTCATGGTCCCAATTCCACCTCCCTGCCAATACTTTAATTACAAATGCAAAATACATGTCTTTTCCTTGTGTGGCTGAATCACTTCCTCTGAGTGCTATGGCACTAGAATATGTCTTGGAATACCTTTGTATTGTGCAGATAGGTAGTACAAAATAAACACAAGCTCTGTCACTCAAAGGTGGAAATAAAGGAACGAGGATGCACTTCCGTTCTTCTAAAACATCTAGATATCTTGATTTTCTTAAAAGAATGACACAACTACTAACCAGGTCCTTTGCCTCTTCCATTGTTTTTTTTTTTTTCCAGTCAAGAACACAAATCAGACTAGAGTCTTAAATGGTTCTTGTAAAAACTGTATCATAGGAGCAGGATCAGATTTGCAGTGGTACTGAGAAAAATTGAAAATAATTGTTAGTATTAGATGCTGAAGTTACTGTTTGATGCAGATGTATTTTCTCTTGTTTACTGTGGTGCTAGTGGAGCCAAAGGAGGTATGTTCATTGCTTGTTCATCACACTAGATTTGTAAAGTTGTAATGAAGTTTGTACCCTATTGGAAAATCTGCTAATCTGTATTAAAAGTAATTGACCGATGTCAGTGGCATAAGTGGTGTTTTAAGCCGGTGGACAAAAAGGATGTGAGTACAGTTTAAAAAGTTGCTGCAACATTCTGACGAGTGGCTTTGCCTGCCTGTAAGCTAACTGCAAGAGAATAACATTACGCAGTGCCACTTCTCTTTCCCCGCAGAAATTAGAAATCAAATAAATATTGCCTCCATTCTTTAATCTTCTCTTGCCTAAAGTGAGCTAAACAACTAACAAAAACCAATTATTGTGCATTTTTTAATGTGTATACTCAGAACTTGGGGAGAAAGGCTGAGGTGAGGACATTCTGCTGGGATTATTTTCATGAAGTAGCTTTTTCTAACTCAAAGTTTATTTAAACTTTCTCTGGTGTTTTGTTTGGTTTCTTTTAGATTCAGCTATGACAACGCAAGATTCCAATCAGACTTGGGTGAATTCTCTGACGAAGATGCAAGCTGGACATGAATCATCTGGTAATTCTTTTAGTTCAGTATGCTTAAAACTATATAGTCCTTTTTCCTATTGATAATTTGTTTATTGTATAGAGTCAACATTTTCACACTTAGGTCTCTTGAAATAAGATAGTGACTTTTTGGAAGAAACAGAAGTAGATACAGCACCCAGGTCTTTTAAAGCCACTGCAAGAGCTTGAGTGTTGTAAGTATCTCCAGAACTGGAAAAAGCTATGCAGCTGCCAGTTTCGTGATCTGTTGCCCTTAGGCATATATGCCTTAAAAGCAGGCAGTGACCCTGGAGGTTGGTCAGTGCCCAGCTAGTGCCCCTGCAGGGACATTGTGTTCTAGCTTTAAGCCATGATAATTTTTAATATGGGAGCTCCTTATGGCTGTGTGTTAGTGAAAGGTATAAAAAATGCCCTTGCATTGCTTCTGCTAGCACATCCTGCTAGCTTCATCTTTCTTAATTATGGCTGTGACAGAACGGTCTGTTGTACCTTATACCTTAATTGCATTTTTAACAGGGAGCTGAGAATAAGTTCCAGGCAGGACAGGAAACCAATGCATGTTGGTTCTACTTCTCCTTTTTCCATAAAAATCAGAGAATCAGAATTTCAGCACTGTCCCAGAGCTCATGTTGATTAGTGCTAGTCAACCATGAGCTAAGTTATATTTCTATGTGAACTCAATTTCTGGCAAGTTATTTCACCTACAGGTTGGGGTTTTTAATGAGATAATGGTATTTATCTGGTGTTCATCTTTGGAGCCTTTTCGCACAACGTGAGAACTAGGAGTGCAATAGCTAATAGATTGAATAACTCTCTACGTACATAAACACACATAGACATACAGGAAATATAGAAAATGTTTCATACAGTATCACCTCCTCTGAATATTTTCCTTTGATATGTGAATTGAGGAAGAAAGTCAGTGTGAAAATTCTGTTCGTTGCAAGACACTTTAAAGGCTGTCTAGTTTCTTATGGCTGGATCTACCATATGAACTAGCACTGGTGCCTTCTGAATGTATCATTGCAAGGGATTTCGGTGAAAAAGCAGGTGGTGTGTGTACTGGACTGACATAAACTCAGCTAATCTGTGACAACCCTGGCATGCTGACTGAGTGTTTGTGCACACAGGCAGCCTAAGATCTGCCAGAACTTTTCAGCCTTGATATTATTTCCTGGGTAAACACTTGGACTAGTTTACTTCTCCACGGGGCAGAGACCAAGGCTTATTGTGTTCTTGTCTAGAGCCAACAGGACTATTGTCTACTGCTAAAGACAGCTTTGATTTCTCTGTTTAAAAGGCCATTTTATACTATCAGTTAAGATTGACAACAATCTACTGTCAACAACACAAAATGAAATAGCCTGAAGTTCTGTGCTTCCATACCAAACACCTTAATATACAGGTTTATTTTTCGTTAAACTGATTGAAGCTTGAGGGAAAGTATGAAAATGCAGATGGAATGAGCCAGGAGATGCTGTGAGCTTGAGAGGATGTTTTCTGAAACTGGCCAACAACTTGTAAAAGGCAGGTGTACCTCTGCTTATACCTTTAGATGCAGACCACTAGCAGGGGCCTCCTTCAGCACAGCCAGATCCTCTCAGCTGTAGCTCAGAGATATTCATTTAAGATCTTTACCTGAGAGTTCAGTATTTTATGCAAGGGAAGAAAAGGAGTAGTTCTGATGAGATGTAGGCTTTCAGAGATGCTATTTCTACTTCACAGTGGTCAATTTGGCTACCCAGTGCATCTGTCAGTGGGAAGGTTAAAGGTGTAGCCCAGTTCCTCTATCTTCTCAATTGTGATTGGGAATCTTTACAATCCATAAACAGCAGATATAATCAAGCCCCTTTCTGTCTACGAAAACCAGAATAATTCTCTTACAATGCTGTGTGACTAGGCAGAATCAGTCTCTAACTACTGCTCATATATTTCTGCAATGCATTATGAAATATTTGACAATGAAATTACTTTCCAAGCATGTAAAAGCATGTATAGCGTAAAACATTTAGTGTGTCTTTTGGGGTGGTGGTGAAATCTACCTCTTCCCTTTCATAACCTTATTTAAAAGAAGATTATTGTAGCTGGGTTACATCTGTAAGAGCTGCAGCTTATTAATTTGCTTTCTTTTTCTGTTCGTGAAACGCATGAGAACAAGTGATGGGAACAGACTGTGCTTAGAGTTGCTTCATCAAGCTTTGTAGAACTTTATAAAAGATCTCATACTCTCTGAAGGGTATGTGATCCACAGCCTCACCAAAAAGGAAGTTTGGTGACCATACACCTTGTAAATGTAAGTTTTCCTAACAAAAGGAGAAGAATATTTTTAGGTCAGCCATATGATGGTTAATATTAGTATCCATTCTTTGTGGAAGGGCATTGCCTGCTCTGTATCAGAAGTTTTGGGAAGCAGTGACAGTCTTTGACCATTTTGTAGTTGACCACACGGTGTTCTTGCCTCTGAATTCATTAAAGCAACGCTTAGATTAGATTGTCTACCTCTGAGTTCCTGGCTGTGTTGTTAGATTGTAGTAGCTTTGAGAATGGCAGCATTCTGTTTTTCTGGGCTTTTTTTGTTGGGTGAGTTTTGTTGGTTGGTTGGCTTGGGTTTTTAAATTTTTTCTTAAAGTTTTTTCTTACAGTTTTTCTAAAGCTTATTACTTTTTAAAGAACTATTTAAACATAGATGTAGTCCTGTATGTAAGCTATAGGTGATGTTTTCAGTCAAGCTGTAAAACCACGATGATGTTTTAGATACTGACCGTCACAATTGCAGCATCACGATAAAGCTAGAAGCCATTATCTAACAGCGTAATTGTTATAACAGCAACCCCACAACACTGCTGCTTTAAGGTTACGGCTGCTAACACAGGTTTATAAAAGGATCGCCACTTGTCAGCACTTGGCAAGGTCTGTTTTCTCCTTTCAAGATTGTTGTAACTAATAATTGCCAAACCATATTGTGTGATTTTGTAATTATTTATATATTATTTATATAGGACAACCTAACATTGTTTCCACCCAAACCTTGTTACATCCAGGTGCTGCCACACAAGAGCTCAAGCCTGGAAGCAAGCAGAGCACTGATGTCACAGAGTATGAGATAGTCCTACCTGGTGAGTGTGTCACTTTTTGTCTTCCAATTATTTTCTATTGAATGTGAGTACACACAAACTTTCATATGAGTTGTAGAAGCATCTAGAATGGCAAGTTCTTGATAAAGTAAAGATGTTCACAGTGAGCATGAGATGAGCCCAGTGAAAGGTAAGTACGTTTTTGTTATTGTTAACTTCTCTGTTCTGGTAATAACTATTTTGCAGTGGAGAATTAGATTCCTATTTTTATTAAAACTAAAAGTAAAACTAATTCATAACTCTTCCTCCAAATCAATTGAAAAAATAGTTTTTTTGCACTAGTGAATCCACTTGGAGAGACCACATAAACTAGAGTACTTGCTGAACAGCAGGTGTTAGCTTAGCAACATTGCAGGAGTTGAAGTGTGGAGAACAGCAAAAATAAACCTGTTCCTAAAGTACCTATGAAATTCCCAGTTGCCAAACAATAGTCTAGAATTAATTTCTTGGATAGCTGAAGAAACTGATCTAACTGAACTATCTCTGGAAGATTTGCAAAGTACTGGTGTGATATTTTCAGGATGTAATTTTGCAGTATTTATGCTGCATTTTCTTTGAGCAGGAAACTTAAAGTACTGTCTGTTTCCTGTTCAGGTATCTGCACTCTTAGTACAGGGATGCCCCAGACATCGGTCTTGCTATTGGTTAATCTTCAACATCATCCATTTTTATGTTTCATTCATTCACATTTTAAAATCATTTCATAAGGGACAGATACTTTTTTCAGCTTCTGTAATTAGTCTGACTGTGAAACTTCTGCTGCTGTGGAACCAATTCTTGTTGTAAAATTACTTTGATCATAAACGACCCCAACAAGCTGAGTTATGCTTGGCTCATTTATTCAGCCTAATTGCCCTAATAAATGATTTTCAGTGACTAATGTTGCTCTGCAGTGGAAGACTGGGGTGTTGCACTTCTAAGTTTGTCTCCAGTTTGACAGATTAGAATTATTGTGGCTGGGACTCACAGTTCTGGATATGCTGTTCTTCAGATTGTACATGTCTCTGTCAGACCCAGTAAAGTTCACTTACTCTGGATCTTGTGCTGTCACTCCAGTGAGGCTTTGCTGCTGCTTAGGTATGACTTACATTATGAAGTCATTGAGCTGTACCTTAAAGCTTCATTTTCTCTTGGAAGGAATGTGAGCTGTGCAATACACCTATATTTTTTGACCACCAAATACTACAGGGTGCATCTAGAATTGGCTTGAGGCATGCATAAATTTTCTGGGAGTATTTAGATGACTAACCACACTGCTATCCAGAAGGCATGAATGAAAAGGCCAGTTATGAAACAAAATGTCAGTACTAATGGGTAAAACATCCAAAGTGTTTTCTAAAAGAAGGCTGTTTCTATGGATCAGAGAAGATATTTGCCGTTATCTACTTTTTGGATGTGCTTATTTTATGCTCATGAACCTATACTCATAAAAAGCGAAAAACTGACAGGTTTTTCTACTATACTGTAATATTTTCCCACTGTGATTCTAATGACTTGCCAGGAAGGCAAAGGTGGCCCTAAATGGGTTTGAAGAGGATTTGGTGTCAGTTTGAGTAACTGTAGGTATGAAAGGCCTGATACAGCTATGTTAAGGTTGCAGATTTTATCAACAGCTTACCTGGCAATAGGATATACCTGTGATCTCACAGTATCCTAAAAATCTGCAATTGGCTAAGATCCAAATAGTTACAGATACTTATGTCTTAACTTTTCTTGACATTAATAAAATCTTCTATATGCATACTAAGTACTTAATATTTTTGGTTTGGATTAAATCACGTAAAAGCTTAAGTCTGTCTCCTAAGTCTGTCTTGCTCTCAATGATATGAGTATTTATGCTTCTATATTAGAGCCCTCTAGGAAATTTACCTACAAATTGGGAGCATGTTATTTTTGTAAAGGGGATATGTATTTTGACTCAGTTATTACTTGAGAAAATTGCTGTGAAACTGATTTTGCAGGGGCTTTTTTGGCCTGGAGAGTATAAAGAGCACCTGTGTCCACTTGTAATCCTGTATATGTAAATGCAGTCTCTGAAGTTCCTTCACTCAGAATGAGAAAATAGGTTTTTTCATTAAATGTTTTTAAACTTCTTATAGGTGTGTCTGAAAAAAATATCTCTTTGGCCAGTCCAGCTAAAGTTGAACTTACATGCAAATTAGGTGTGAAGTCAAATTTGAAAAATCCTCAAGTGACATGGAAAAGAGGAAGTGAAACAATCAGTCACACCAGTAAAACTCAGAACAGCTGGACCATCCAGTAAGTAAGGTTCTTTACATTGTGATTTGCAGATTCTGATGAGTTACAATGTTATATACAGTTCCCAATACCAGTAATGTGTATATTGGAAAGGGGAGAAATGCAGAGATTAACATACTGAAGCTGTCAGAAAGGAGAAAGACTGCAGGTACCTCAAGCCTAAGAGGATGAGCTCGTGTTTTTCTTTAGTGCACATAAAACAAGGCTTTTTTTAAAAAAGAATATAGAATAGCAAAACAGTTCCTTAAAGTCTGTTCAGTAAGTGAAATAGTAATCAGTCTGAGATTAGAATATTTTAGCAGTTTCTCTTTTCACTCCCTCATTTTCCACATCTTCCTTTCCACCTCATCGCTGCTTTGCAAGAGTCTGGAAGGCATCAATGGTCATTTTCTTTCCTTCATAGGTAATAAACAGTAGAAGTGAGATTTTCAGTAAAGATATTTTGAAGGTTTTAAGTCATTCAGACCTCTGCAGGAACTCAGTGTTGTAAAAACCTTTCTGTAATCAATAAAATTTTTTGTTGTTCTTTAGAATTAGGCCAATTACACATTTTAACTGATTGGTCTCCATTTCATTTCTGTATAGCTTTAAGAGCAGCAATACTTAGATAAAATTTCTATTGTAGAAAATATGATAAGACTATAACTGTCACTTTCTTGATAATCCATATACACAGACACTTAAATCTTTTTCAAAGTGACAGTAAAATGTACAGTCTGCCAGTGGAGAAGATGCTGGACTTCATTAGATGAAAGCTCTTTAAAACTATATTTATTTATTTTATTTAGTGTTGAAAAGATTACTTAAGTCATTTGTTCTTCCTAAAGCCCTGCATAGGATATGCTTCTTATTTCACATGGTGAACCCATGTCTAACTCAGTAATCTGTAGATAATGCTGCTCAAGGGTGTCCTGTCAGCATGCAGGGTAAAAATGTTGTTTATGATCCAAAGTGTGCTTGTGCTCTTCTGATTTCTTAAAAACATTATGCCACTTCTGCATTGCACTAAACCTGAATTGTAGTGTTTCAGTGGTGGTATCTTCACTGCTCCATTACTAATTCCTACTGTTTTCTTTGGAATGTTAATTAGCAATCACTTGTGGTGGTACAAAAACAAAATAGAAAAAAACCCCACATCTGTGATTTTTTTTTTTTTTTTTGAAGACTGACCATCTCAGGGAGCAGCGAGCTGGGAAGTTACACTTGTATTCTGAAGGCTGCAAAAGAAGTCAGTGCTACGTTTCACTTGCATGGTAATTTAATTGATTTGTATTTATTTAAAATTTTTGTTTCAGCTGACTACTGCAAAGCTGTATTAATATTCTTTCTGGAGAGTATGGAAATTGCAATGTAATTTGATAAGTAATGGCTAATACAGTCAGGCTAAGTGAGAATAATTATCGCAGTAATTTCTGTAGCATGGATTGAAGAATTTTAAATAAAAAAAAAAAGCCTTTTAAAAATTCTAATAACCAAAATATCATACAAGTCTGGTTTTTACCCTTGTTGACTAACTGATTTCCCCTTCCCTCTCCAGCTGTAAATACACTTCACTTTCTGGGGCATGAGATTAAAGGATGGTGTCTCAGATAAATTTCCTCAAAAAGCAGAGCCAATAATTTGCAATTTGAGTCTGATGTTAGATGTTAAAAGTGAAGTAGAGATTGGCAAAATGGAGGCAGGATTTTAAAATTTTTTTGTATTTCTGAAACACTACATTTTTGCTTTTGTGCTTCTTTTATCTGTAACACTATAAGAATAGTACTTAGATGAGCAATTAGTGTACTTCATTGAGCAGTATGAGTGCCCTTTCTTCTGTTTTGTTCTCTTCTCCAGTAATGTTACCCTGGAAGTAGTAGGTGAAATTCAGATGCATGGAAGATACGTGGAAATGATAATACAAGCTGCTAAGCTGATGAATATCTCTAGTGGGAGTTACTTCTTTCTCTATTCCTACTGTCCAAATTTTGCAAAAAGCAAGGCAAGCATCTGTAAAGGCAGATATGGAGCCATTTTCCCTATATACAGGCTCTGAGTAAACCTAACTATTCAAATCATTACCTAACCTTAGCTAACTTAAGCAGTGGGGCACCTAATTCTTAAGCTGCAAGCTGCCTTTGTTTAGTGGGATATCCAGTAATAGGACTTGAGGAAACTCGCGTGGGTTCAAATATCAATCATTGATACCGGCTTTCAGACCTTCAGCCAGGAGAGACTAGATTGCAGTGTTGAATAAAGACAAAGCTGTAGTTTATTCAGGCCTTTTAATCTCAAAAAAAGAATTATGTATTTTTCTTGTCAGCATGTGCGTAAGGTTTAGTCAAATAGCTGTCCAAGTTGGTGTAGATGGAAAAACGTCCAAGGAGAATTTTTTACAGAGTTTTTTTTTTTGTAAGTACGCCATAACTATTACAGTAAGGGCAGCAATGACTCAATAGGAAAGTCATCTCTTCCAGAACAGTGTATAGGACTGGTTGATTTATTATAAGAAGATCAGAGAATTGCTGCCTGATAGTTGAATGCTGCCACTTCTGATGCCATAAAAAGTACTGGTTTGATGCTTTTTAAGTTTAAGGCAAGAGTGAAGAAAATGGGAAAGAGAAGTTCTTGAATCTTCCAGTCAGTAATGCAGGGAGAACAATTTTCAAACTGAAGGATGAGTAATGTGTAATGTATAGACTCAGTGGCTTAAGTCATCACTGCTGTAACTAACTGCAGTATCTTTTCCACAAGGCAGTTTGGTATTATTGCATGTGTTACCTCTCCTCTTCTTCCCCCCTGATTCCTGGCCTGGCATAACCCCTCAGATTTTGAGGAGTTATGTTTTTATTCAGGTATGCAGAAAACAATGAGATATTTACAGGAAGTTAATACGCACAGAGGACATTAATGGGTGTTATAAAATATTGTGAAGTGCTGCTAGCTTCTAAAAGGGTAGTATAGATTAATTTCTTTGCCCCGTGTTGGGGATCCTTAAGCAGCAGTTGTGGTATGGGCACCATGAAATAGCTCTGATTTTTAACACTGTGTGGAAATCTGACTGATACACAGTCTACATGCTGGTGCTGACACCTGTATGTTTGTTTCTTCAAAATTTGGCTTTGTGTGTGCAGCAGAATTTTGTCAGCAAATTTGGTGTGATTCACTTGCAAAAATACCTGTCAAGCCTTGCATGTATTCAGGGATTAGGTGTTACAGAGCCAGATCCCAGAACTTGAAATGGATATTCATATCCTTAATCATGGCTAATGTGGTCACATATATTGCTGGCATGCTTATAGCTGACCTTTGTCACTCACCACTGTGGCTGAATCTCTTTGACTGCCACATCAGCTTGTTGTGCTGGGTATACAGGGTTTTTTTATCTTAACCTGCTTGTGTCTCTTCTACTCTAAATTGCAAGAGAGATTGCAGCAGTAATTAGTGAGGTCATCCTTTTTAATGGCAGCAGAGAAAATACACTGCCAGTACTCTTTAAAATTTTAGCGCTTAATGATTAAAATACACACATTGAGAGAAGTTCACTAGTAAAGAGTCTTGATGTATGGTGTGGCAAATTCTGAGACTGAAAACAGTGTTCTTATTAACAAATTGGTTTCATAGATATTTCTGTATTGGAAACATAAGTTTGAATACACATGAGAAGCAGACTTCTTTGGGGAAAAAATAATTCGTGCTCACCAGTCAAGAACGGGTGAGGACAAGAAGAATCTTAGCTTGTATCAATTGTTCATCGTGACTGCTGAAAGCAAATACTTGGCCTGTTTAGTCTAGTGTGATCAATAATATCTGTAGTATGTACTGGATCTGTACTTAAAAAGCAGAGCAAAAGAAACTTGAAGTAAAATTTCAAATGAGTGGATCTGAGGAAGACATTGGTAAACATCCTAATAAACAGGGAAAGGAAGCAGAAATACATACTTCAGCACAATGCATTTGCTAAGCTCTTACAGTATTTGTAGGACAGTCTCAATATATTCAATAGCCTTTCTGGGCACATGCTTTTGGAAGTTTGTGGGGCACAAACAGTGACAATTGCTAGGACAAGTAGCTCTAAAGTTACACTGTCTTATTTCTTGTTGACTGTATTCTGTCCTCAGCAAGACTGGACCAGAAGTCCTTTTTATTGGCATGCACCCAAAAGTCATTGCTTCAGCTCAGAAAATGTAGCAATGATATTTTATTAAAAATCCTTTCCTAGGATTTTTTCTGTCCTGAGAGCTGAGGGCCTCAGGAAAGAAATGTAAACAATAACTATCTGCTGCTGTGGAATGCAACAGGTGCATCTTCCGTTGGTTCATGTGGATTGTTTTCCATTGATGACCAATCACGGCCACCTGTGCCAAGGCTGTGAGCAGTCACAGGATTTTGTTATACTTTCTATTCTGTTACTGTTCTTTGCAGCCTTCTGATTTTCTTTTCTCTCTGTTCTTTTAGTATAGTTTTTATGTAGTATTTTAATATGATATGTAAGATAATAAATCAACCTTCTGAGAAAATGCAGTCAAGCCTCATGTCTCCACACATGGGGTGTTGGCCTCAACAAGAAAATGTTTAACTACAAATCTCTATCAATCTGCAGTTTTTTCTCAGTTACAGAAACATTCTCTGTGTACAACTTGTCAGATACCATTATGTAGTCACATTGTGACTGAAATAGACTTCTAGCAGTTTCTGCAGATAGAGTGAAATTGCAGGAAAATTATATGTTTGTTTCTAGTGTACTAGAACTGAAGCATGTAGCTTGCAGCTGCCAAGGAAGGAAAAGAGGAAATGGGCAAGAGTAGAAATCAGTCTGATTTTTTTTTTTTATTTTTTCACTTGACGTTTGGTATTAATTGGCAACTTTCAAGATCACATAGCAACTGAAAACAGGATTCCACTTGTCTTCTGCACAGATGGTATATCTGAAATAGCTGCCCAAAACAACTTCTCATGTCACAAATTATAGAATCATGAGAGCTTTAAGTAGAAAAAGTGAATGGAGTGCTATAAATGAATACCTAAATACATTCTTTGTAACACTAATGAAAACCTGAATCTCTCACGTGATGACTTTTTTTCTCCTTGTTCTTAGTACCAACCATTGAAGGAAGAGAAAAACCCATAATTGCTTATATAGGTGATACAGCTGTAATGGTTTGTAAAACTGAGTATGATCCCAAGGCTTGGATGTGGTATATGGCCAATGGAACTGAGCTGGTAAGATCTCCCTCTGTTGGGCAAGCAAAACACTGTGACAGAAAAAAAAGTACAGATACTTCATACTTCACTGCAAGCTCTACAAATTCTATTTCCATTACCTTTAGCGGACATATTTATGGAAATGGAAAAAAATCTGTAATATTTACAAGTATTTATTGTTACAGGGATGTAGTTTTTTGATCTGGTTTGTATGTTTCTTTTTCAAAAAGATCCTGCCATACTCCCAGGTAAGGTGAGTCTTGAGAGACTTGTTTTTACTGTATTTATTCTGGTTATACTACTCAAATCTTGATACTGTATACAAAAATAATCTTACAATGGGACATGCTTTCACGTGTAAAATGTTGTAGGACCCTTTACTTCCTCCAGGTACAAGTAATTCTTGGTCATAGCCTTGTGACCTATCTAGAAAGCACAGCTTCCTATCTTTCAGCCCTTTTCTGAGGCCAACACTGTCAACTGAGAGAAGGTAAAGAGATCTGTCTCCTTTATATGGCTGGAGACTAGCACTGGCCTTTTTAAGAGTTACCAGTATATTTCCAGGTGAAGGAGACCTCCCACTTCCTTGAAAGTGCATGTTTTGTGCTGTGGTGAAACCCATGCATTAGATCTGGCAGCCAAGGATGCCTTTGTCATTGGAGAGTCAATAGAGCCAAAGGTGCCTTTTATCTCTTCTTAAATAAACTAAAATAGGTCAGACAGTTTGCCCACTGAAACTTTGTATTTTCTTCCAGTGAGTTTAGAAAGAATTAGGATGTCCAGCTAAAATATACCCTTCTCTTTAATGTGGGGTAATCGTGCTTCATGAATACCTTTTGTTTGTAACTCACTGTACGTATCTATACTGAATGTTGATGATACTCTTGGATTAAACACGTCCTCATTACATTATTAAGACTTGCAATGTATTTTTTTAGGTTCCCATTGATAAGATTTTGCCTATGGACAAGTTTAAAATTAATAGACAATCTGCCAGTGTAAACCGTTTGGAGATACACAAGCTCACCACGGAAGATAGTGGTGAATATTGGTGTGAAGCCGCTTTTGAATTAGCGGGCAGTAAAGCGAGGTTTGAAGTTAGAGTTCTGTCCATCGCAGAACCTCTCAAACCCTTTATAGCAGTTGTGGCTGAAGTCGCTATTCTTGTAACTACTATTGCCCTCTGTGAGATGTATTCGAAAAGGAAGGCAAAAGGTAAGTTTTGGTGGGGGGTTTTTGGTTGGTCAGTTTGAGTTTTTAAAATTAATTTCTAGCTTTCTGTTGAAATTAGAGCCAAAGGTAGAAAAGTAAGACCTATAGTGCAGCATATATTAAGTTTGAGTCATTTTCACATCTGTATTTCTGAAAATTCTTTAATCTAAAACACTGCAATGAAAAGAGCTTTCACTAAGCAATACTTACAACAGTTTTGATAGAGTCCTGTTTTTTTTTTTTTTCCCTTACAATACAGACAATTTTGAGGCTATAATTTTTGGGGGAGTGATTAGGAATGGAAGCAATTCTTAGTAGCCTTGATAGGAGAAGTTTCTTTAAAGACATTTAGTAAGAAGGAGAAATGCGTGTGTCTAATATAGACATAAATGCATGTTATGTATATTTTGAAATACAGACATTTATAAACCTGTATATATAAAAGATGATTTGTATTAAAATCAGACTAATAAAACCTTATGGAAATAAGATTTTTCACCACTTTGGAGGTAACTCCCTTGAACAGATAAACAAGGTAATTTGAAATACATATTTAAGAAAACTAACAAAATAAAATAACGTTTTGTTCTGATTAAGCAATTACTAAATGTACTAAACAAGAAATTTTCTATTGTTTATTAAATGGATACTGCTATATAGTACTTCTTTTTTTCTGCAGGAGGTGAAAAAGAGTTTGACCAAATTGAGCAACTGTAAGCAAAAAAGTTCCTATACTGTAGTTCATTATTTGTTCTTATGTGTATTTGTGTTGTACAAAACTATACCTTGCTGTTGATCCCATTGGTAAGGGGGATGGTGGTCACTGTGAAAGAACAGTTTATTTTTTTCCTTAAGAATTCCTGATTCCAGAGTGAGCAGAGCTCTATTTTCTGCCTGGAACTTGATTTTGAAATGATGATTGTTTTTTTTTTTTAGTCATATTTTGTTTGTTTTGTTTTGGTTTTGGATTTTTGTTGTTTCTTTTTGTGAGAGCACCATGTGTCCTCATTATAAACTCATTCCAGAAGACTGTAACTGCATAGAAATAATTTCCAGGTGAAAGTGTATCAGAAGTGGTTCTGATTTTTTTTTCTTTTTCCAAAGTGTATTGGTCCATATTAACATAGATTTATCTACTTGGCAAGTAGTCAAAGCCGTAACTCTCATATCTAAGTTGCTGGGGTAGGGTAACCAGCCTGTAGTTGCTGGGGTGTTGGGAGCTGGCATTTTTGGCTGTTTTGGCAGCTAACTCCAGCCTCTCAGGAGACTTCACGCTGTGGTGGTAGCTTGGTCTTCCTGGGCTGCACTGCTGTAACCAAAGGAGTAGGATGTTGCTGTTCTGCTGTTCCAGGCTCTGTGCTCCCATGCTGGCTCCCCTGTCCTTAAGATCATATATTTCTTCAGGCTTGCTTGCTTAAGTATGCTATACTTGTCTTTCTGCCTGTCCTCTGAAGCCTGGTTCCCTTATCTAACCTGTTTACCTCTTAAGAGGAAAGTTGCCTAACAGGTCATTTTAGATGTGTCCAGTCTACTCTAGTTTTTGTTGTCTTGATCCCTTTTCTCCTGCTGTGTTTGTTTCCCCTTTTCTTCTGACTCCTCTTTCTCTTTCCCTCTTTGATTTCTTCTCGGGTTTGTTTTTCTGCAGTGATATTTGTTTTCCTGTGTTGTATTCACTTTCTCATTCCTTTTTCAGTGCTGAAAATATATTTTGGTGCTTTTCCACTTGTCTGAAGCGATTTAAAGCTCTAATTAAATTACGGTATAAAGTTGGGAGTATGTATTGGGAATATAGTATTCTATTATACTGCTGAATGTTTGGGGGTATGTCTTGAGTTGAAAATTGAAAAGTTGTCCTTATTGCACAGCCTACTTCTCATAAACATGCTGAAAATACTAGTATGGTAACACAGAATAGTTCACTAAAATAACATTTTTGTGAATGTGGGATGTGGTTCTGTACAGCTGCTTAATCTTTATTGTGTAATTCTTACATAAACACATGAGGAAAATTTATCTAACTATGTACTTCCCAGACTCAAGAACTGAAAGTTACTTCAACTATTGGCTGTTTAGAAGATGGATTTGTGTACCAGAGAGTGGCTCCAAAGGAACATGTCTGGTCTGTTATGTCAGGGGATGACTAATACAACTGTATTTGGCTGATGATGATTTGGCTGTAATTAAATGTCACATCCAGCAGTGTATTTAGGTGGGAGCCTAGTGAATCACAAACTTTTTTTTAGCAAGAGAACTTTTAATTTAAGTCTTTTTTGTGATGCACAGCATAATAGCTAGTTGCAGTTATTCCAGAAGGAGACTGGGAATGATTGTGCTGTCTTACTCTTCGGTTTTGGAATTTACCTTTTTTTTCTTGTAGTAAATCAGAAGACAACGTAACTAAGGGACAAAATTAGTTCTGTGCAGAGAAGGAAGATTCCTTTAAAGGTAAGAGATGAAAGAGACTAGAGTTGACTTTTCTCTTGAGCAGCCTAATACTAGGACAAAGAAGTCTGCTTTACTATCCCAATATTTTTTTTTTTTTTTAATGCAGGAGCAGCATAGCAATTAAGTAATTGTTTAGGTAAAGTAAGGTACAGTTGAACAAGAAATCAAGTCCAAATCATTTTAACTCAATTGTGTTGTCATTGTGATTTACTAGTTCTGTTTAACCCATGCAGTCTTTAAAATGGGGTCCAGGTTAATCTGCTTAACCTGATCATGAATGCCAGGGTAGGTGCTGAAATGCGTAAGAGGTACTGCTGTGTTCAAAATCCCACTCTTTCCAGCTGTATTTTGGGTGTCAAGTGAGTTTATGAAGAAAGGATCCTCCGTAATAGCACATGGGGAATATAGAAATTCTGGAGAGATGTAGAGGAGTCTGGGAAAGAAGACTGGGCTCAATGGATAGTGATTGAAAGGACTAGTTGCAGAATAAGGAGCCAGAGTGTGAGTACCCTTGTTGCTGGTGGCAGGCACAATCCTGGGAGGGGATCGGCTGTGAGCGTGGCAGTAAATAAAACAGGGACAGGTATGACTGGAGTGCTCAAAAATCAGTTTAGTGAAGGAAAAATAAAAGGCGTGCTAACAATGAATGCACAACAAAAACATAGGCTGTTTACACTGCAGAGAGCTACTCCAGAGAGCCATAAAATGAGGCAAGCCACAGAGGGTAGGGAACCAATGAATAAAGAGAAACAGAAACCATACCTTACATGGAACACAAGACTAAGCAATCAGAATGCAAGGTTCATAACATAACCTAATATGGAACAACTTAATTGCATAACTGCTCCCATCAGTCCTTTCTTGTCACCATAACTTCAAGGGAATTCCTGGGGTCTGTGATGTACCCTTCCAGGGCAGGGCCCTGGTAGGCTCACAGGCCTCCCAGTTTGTAGTTCTGTGAAAGCTATATAATGAATTTCTTGATTCTCTGCCTTCTTCACAGTCTGATTATAGGCTGTTTCTACTTACACCACCTGGAAATGCTTGTCAGAGCAGTCTTTTAGTTGAGGACCAGTCCTACACACACTTGCTTCTCTTCTGCATCTGGCACCTCAACCTCTGATCTGTTGATGAGAGGTGTGAATGACTTTGCATTCATGTCGCTGTTGGTTCATTCACACCACAAGCCATCTACCTGACTAAAAATGGTTGCCATACCAAAGAACAGAAGGAAACAACTCAGGTAGAGCTTGCATAAAGAGAGTAACAACTCAAAATGATCCAGAACAAATACCTTCCAAGATTATATGGTCTTTGTTCCTCTTAGGTTTAACCCCACCTGGCAACTCAGCCCCATGTGGCCACTTGCTTTTACTTTCTGGTGGTATGGGGGAGAGAATCAGATGAGTAAAAATGGGTGAGCTTAGGGAATGAGATGCAGATAGCTTGACAGAAGAAGGCAAAAGCTGAATACAGAAACAAAGGAAAATTCATTCAATCTCATGGGCAGGAGGATGTTCAGCTGTCTCCAGGAAAGAAGGGCTTCAGCATGTTTGAATGTGTGTAATAGCTGCTTGAGTTAATCAGGAAAACAAATGCTGTGACTCTGAATGTGTGTCCCCTTCCCCATTTCTCCTCCTTCCCCCAGCTTTACCTGCTGAGTTTGATGCCCTATGGGATGGAGAATGCCTGTGATCAGCTGGGGCAGGTGCTCTGGCTGTGTCACTTCCCAACTCCTTGTATTTCCTCAGCCTCCATGCTGGCAAGGGAGAGGACAAGGCCTCGTGACAGTGTAAACACTTCAGAGCAATACCTAAAACATTACTCTGCTGTCGGCGCTGTTTCCAGCACAAATCCAAACCTAGCCCTATACCATGTGGTATGAAAAAAATTATTCCAGTCAAAACCAGCACACAAGGGTTTCTCTTATGTTGACTTTGAGGTTCCATTCTTACAAAGTTCTTTTGACACATAGCACTGAGTCAATAAATAAAGATTCTTCTTTGAGAATCACCTGCTTTGTGTTCATACACAGTGTCAAAAGTTTTAATGTCTTAACCTGATAAAGTCCAGTTGCTCTCCATAGCTCCCTGAAAATAGGTTGTAGGAAGGTGGAGATCGTCTCTGTTCAAGTAACAAGTGGTGGTACAGAAGGAAATACCAAGTTGTGTCAGGGAGGGTTTAGTTTGGATATTAGGAAAGATTTATTCACTGACGGGGTGGTCAGGCACTGCAACAGGTTGCCCAGGGAAATGATGGAATCCTCAACCCTGGGCATGCTCAGAAGGTGTGTGGATGTGGTACCTAGGGTTACGGTTTTCTGCTAAGTATGGTGGTGCTAAGTTAATGGTTGGACTTGGTGGTCTTAGAGGCCTTTTCTAACCTAAAGGATTTTATGATTTGATTTGCAAATTGGATCACTAAAAATTTGATATATTGATTAGAATAAGGTTTATTTTCAAACAAATATGGGGAAATACTAAGCAGTGAAATAACAGAATTTGTGTTATAATGAAATGTGTTTATTTTTTTTTATTGCAGGAGATTTAAGCCAACAGAAGTGAAAATTATCACAAAACTTCAGAAGATGTATGCAGCTACTTAAACATTCACTGTGTTTTGAAGTAAAATTCTCTACCTTTGAGAAATAAGATGCTTTTAAAATAGCTCTGAAACTACTCCTTTTACACCGATGATAATATGATATATTGTATTTAGAAGTTTATCTGTAACATTTTACTACTAGCAGGGTGTTTTTTATGTGATTAGGCTTGCTGTTGGTTTATGATTATCTGTTTGATTTTTACCTCCCAAATTGGAACTAGCATTGTATTCACTGAAAAAATGGTCAATATAAAGTAGGCATATTATCTGAGTGTTATAAAACTGGATATATACAATGAAAAAAGTATTTACACCAGAGAAAATGCCTTTTACTCACTGTTGAAGCAAATGTGATGCAGCTATTTTTACCAAAGAAGTGGTGAAAGGGGAATCTTTATCAGGGCTTCAATGAAACATTGAGAGAGTTGTGATTTACTCTTGAGTAGTAAAATGTCTTCATTCCAACTTGTCTTAGCTTCATTCTCAGTTCTGCTATATTGTAGTTCTTAGTAGGCTAAACATTTAGATGCCATACAGCTCAGATATTTCAGAGTTGATGAAGCATTGGGGATACAGTACCTTCTCAGACTAAAACTGCAATAATTCCTTATGCTTGAAAAAAATTACTGCGCTCTCTGCGGCTGCAAAACAAGTTTGTTTATTATAATTGATATGGAGTGCTGAATTTTCAGGAATACCCCTATATATGTTTCTGATCATACTTACTGTCTAGTTGGTACTGCTGCTTCTTTCAGCAAGCTGTTGTTTCTTAAACTCCTTGCAAAGCACAGAGTGGGTCTTGAGCAGCTAAAATTTTCAGGATAATAGGATGAAGCAGCATGAATACCACTACTACTCTTACACAAAAAATTTAACACTGCTGTTAATGATTTACAGTATTGCTTTAGAAGAGTGAGTTGTCATAATACTGTTCAGTTACCATTATGCATTCAGCAATTGAAAATGTTTAGCTAATAAGAAAACGGTTGTATCAGTTGCCTTTGCTTGAAATAATTAAAGCTTCCATTTTGAGAGGAAGTAAAGTCTTCAGAAAATGATCTTTTCTCCATAAAAATGTAAGGAAAAAGGCAGCATTTGCAGACTCCATGAGAAAGTGAAAGAAGAAAAAAAATACACTGAACATCTTTGTACTGGTCATTTTTTTTTTGAACATAAAGGTAGAAAAAAATGGATAAGACAATTTGAATTCCCTTTCTTGATTTTTTTTTCTATTTTATTGTCATTATGGGTTTGAAAAATATCAGAAATCCTAGCATTGGCTGTTTTGTTGGAAATAGGAGATAAAATCCAGTCTGACATAAGCTTTTTTGTTTTTCATAGTTCATTTCCAGTTTGAAGCATTACAAGTTAAGATCCAAATAAGACATAATGAGAAGTATTAAAGCAATGGGTGATTGACTGTAAGGAGTGAACACTGATAAAGATTCCCCTTTGCTTAGATACTGTGTTTATTGTATTTTGTCTTGGAGTTTCTATGCATTATTAAAACCAGAATGCATCTACAGTTTTTTATATTAATTTCTCATTGATATAATTGATGTTTTTATTGTATTAAGTGAATGTGGACAGTTTTAAAAATTATTAAAACATAATTTGTAAATTATTTGGCACATTTTAGAGTTTGTAGTAATTTGTTTACTGTAGGCAGTTAAATAGTAAAAAAGGTAGTCTTACTTAGAGAGCAAGAATTACATTCTGAATAAAGTAGCATTAATATATTTTGCAATGGAAATGAGGCTAGATGCTATCTGGAAAAAAACCTGCCAGTTAATCAGAAATATTAACAATCTTTCTGCCTTCCTATAGCATTCCTACCTGATCTTGCAGTTGGACTGTAAAGTCTTGGCCAACATAGGCAAGTTATACAGATGGATAGTTTTTGTGGCATTAGCAGGGAAAACCTGGATTAAGCAGGGATTTTAGAAGCAGCACATCTTACATCTTTAAGGACTATATAAGCTTGGTCAGACTGGCTGCTAAAGCCATAGTTTTGCCTTGACCTGCCTCTAGCATGTTCTGCTTACTTTTTCTGAGGGGTTTGGTGTTTATTTTTAGGTTGATTAGTAGTTTTTCATGATTATAAGAGGTTTTATTCTATGCATATTCTCCTAGGTTTAAAGCCCTTTTGGGCTGCCCTGTGGAGGGTAAGAACAAATTATATTAAATGGTAAATACTAAGTAATTGGCATAATTAATGGTCAACTTCAAAGGCATAAACTCTGCTTTTCTTGCTCTAAGTACCACAAGCAGCTCTGGAAATCTTGAAGTTGATCTTTTGGGAAGTATGTGTTGTGTATGTTCAAAACATTCCCACTGTAGTTGCTTTATGATCTTAGCATTGAATAGAACAAAACTTTGTAACTTTAAAAAACCTTAAAACTCTAGCCAGTGATTTATTATTTTTCATTTCATTCAAGCCAGGAGATACCAAATGATTCCAAGTAAGATCCAAAACAATATGTTCTTTCAAACACCAGTTGGAGCTAAGTGTAATGATCCACAAAATTATAGTTTTAATAACAAAACATTAACAACAGACTTACATTGGTAGACTGGATCTTAACTATAACTGTTGGGCAAATTTTGTCTTCCAAGATTAAAACCTTTTCTTGCAAGAGGGGATATTTTACTGGATTTTAGACCAGCAAAAACCTTACCAGTTTGATAGCGGAAAAGGTTGAAATCTGCAAAAGAATCCTGGAGGGCTGTTTCCTGAAACTTCAAGCTGCAGATTCTTCCTGCCCTTAGGTTCAAAGTAGACACAAGCAGCTGTGAGACCAAATTCCTAGTGAAGATGGGGGTTCAAACAGAACTGCATTAATATTTCTTTAGCATGGAGACCTAAGCATTACCCTGCAGTTGTTCAGCAAAATTGATTAGCTGTGGGTCCTTCAACTCATGTAATCCAGGGGAAGAGTGACAACTCATCAGTACTGATGTTGCTGCTAGAATCAGCATCCATGTGCCTCTAACTCTTTTTTCATCCAGAAAAAGTGAGGTTTATATTTTGCCTTTAAATTGTGCCTCAGAACCTTTGAACAGTTGACTGCTGAGCAATGAGAATTGAAAGGAAACTGATTGATACCTTAAGGGCAGGGGAGGTTTCTGAGTTGTGTGGCACCCTAAGTGTTGAGCTACCCAGCACGTGTTGTCTGAAACAGCAAGGTGCAGATAGTGAGGGAGCAACGAGATGAGAATGTTTTAGGGACATGGGAAGGAGCTGCATTTCATTGTTCTGTAGGGGTCCTGAGGGACAGACAGCAGAAGCTGAGGTGACTTAAAATTAGTCACGTACAGGGAAGACTGAATGCAAGAGAAAACATGCTTTTTTTTTTCGTAGGAGAAAACATGTTACCAGTTGTACCACTCAGACTGTGTAGGAAGTTTTGTACAGCAGCTGAAAACAATCTGCCATTGCTGAACACTTGGACAGATGAAAGCACAAAGCTAAATGAGATGTCTCATAAGAGAACTAGAAGTTCCTTGCTTAGAAAATACTTCTCTGCTAGTTTAACAGTTTTGTAGTCTTGTTAACTTCATTATGCTAGAATGTGCATACATAATTCTTTGTGAAAAAATAATCCACCAAGTTCCGAACTTTACAAGTTCTAACGGAAGATCTTGATTTGTCAAAATTTACTGTTGGCAATTGAGTTAATTTGTGTAGTTGTATAATGTTTGTTCTGTCATACCCAAAATTACTTCCTTCCAGAAACTTTGTCTGCTTTGGTTTTGCATTCAGCTTTATATTTAACCAAAGAGATTTTGGGTTTTTTTATTACTTACAATATTTCTATCAACTGATTTGCTGAATTATTTCCAGATTGACATTAAAAGTTAACAGTGCCTTGAAGGAAGACTTTGTTTACCATAGTTAATTTTGTTTTTCTCTTTTGCAATATGTTTGTTAAAAGTTTTCCTCTGAAACTTGACAGCAAAATCTGTTTGTCTAGTAAAAGACTACTAAGCCTAGTGCTTTTTTCACGCTTGCCTTATTTTGCATTCTGATTTTATACTCTGTGCTCACACAACTGTTCCATTTTATTACTTTAGCAAATGGAGCTACCTTCTATTTGTTTGATGTATATCACATAATGAGGATGGTAGTTATGAATAGTGTGAATTGATATGTGTACTTAGAAATAATTTCAATAAATTTGACCATAAAGTGATTGTGATCTTATGCCTGGTGTCATAGAGAAACAAAATCAAGCTCCCTCTTTTTAAATTTTTTTTTTAAAAAATTATTTATTTCTCCATACCCTCAGATCTTTAGACCCAGACGGTGCATTTGCTTGATTACCCAACTGTCTTCACTTAGATCTCTAACCTTCTAGATGGAAATTCCCAAAGATACAATCCAAGTAATTCCTTTTTAAATGCACACTCTGCATCTGGCCTAGATTCATCCTTTGTAACTTGGACATGCAAATTACATCTAGTGTTGTGTCTAGTGTTTCACTGTTAATGGGAGGTGGTGCTAAAGGGTATCTTCCAGCAGAAAATAGCAGCCTAAGTAGAATCCAGATTAAGCAGGGTGACTATCACCCTGTATCAATCCTATTTTTTTAATAAAGTACAAGACATCAAAACATATTTACGTGGTGTTTGTCTTCCCATGAAGATAAATCTCTGCACTTGGAACTTGAATTAAGCACTGTTTTTTTCCTTCCAGTTATCAGTTAAAGGAAGACCTAAGGGCATTTCATAGGTTGCTACCTTCTATGATCTCCAAGGCATAACATGACATTTTGCTAGTACATACGCTATTTGTGCTGTGTTAAGTAACACATCCTTGCTTATTGCTGTCTTTGCTAGAAGAGCTCAAATGAGATAAATTAACTGCACAGCAGGAAGTGTATTTTTGGTCCCTCTTTTGGTAGCTGTTTTGAATGTGAACTTGTTCCCTCCCAGGAGAGGATGCTCACCAGGCAGGCAGACCTTTGGAAGAGGATGGAGTACCATTACCTGTATTTTTGTCACTTGCAGTTTGCTGTGCAGAAGGACAAGGCTGTACAAAAATAGGAAAGATTAAAGCTAATCCCTATGAATAAATGGTATATCCTAAGCAGAGGTAGGATGTGCCAAGAGCACTTCGTGGACAAGTTATTGCAATAGAGTAAATGTGAATCTATGTGTTCGTAGTACCAATACTTCTAGGTTTTCTTTTTTAAAAATCTACTATTTAAAAGGCACCATGTAGAAAATGGAGAATAATAGCAGAGGGAGATGAAGTTTGGAGTTCTTCTAAAAGGGGGGAATAAGGGAATTTGTATCCTTTCCTGTTAAGGGTCATGAGTGTTTTAAATGCATGAATACTTCAAAAAACCATAAAGGAAAACATGTAGAACAGTATTGTTTAAAAATGCCAAACAACTTGACAGCTCAAGTGCATACAATGGATTGGAAAGAAAACACCTCCCCAGTGCAAGTAAAATAGCAATAGCCTTTCCATATTGCAGAACAACTGCTGTTTACTAACTTTAATTCTGTTTCTGTGGATAGAGAGCTGGTAGTCATGTCTGACATTTTAAAATACATTAACCTCTACATTACTTACAGTTCCCTCGAAGACTATCAGACAAAATAAGGTTACCCTTTGAAACTTGGGAATTAGGATCATTTTTTATAGTAATGTATTTCTCTTTGTGAGCTGATCTCAATTTGCCACATAGTTCAGCCATTGTATGCAATTGTTTTATCAGAACTTGTGGGTTCAGGTGCAGTGGTTCTGCTCAGAGAGTTCACACAAATCTCTGCATCCACTAACTTCTGTGACTCAGGAATGACGGAAATAAGCGGTAAGAAAGAAATACAAATCCCGGAAGATAAAACCACACATTCAGAAAAGCTGAGTGTGTGAATTGACACAAACAAATACTCAAGGACGACCATTAAACCGCTGACAAAAAGCAGAGAGCAGATTTATTTCATTACCCTGGTAACAAGACCAGGCAGCAGAGACACACAGGGATACGGGCCCCATCAGGCTCAGCTCATCCTAGCAGACAGTGGGGGTGCCCTGCTGCCTTCCCCTATATAACACAAGGCTTTCCACATGTCTGAGGGTCTTACCTCTCCACATGATTTCTGCTTCTCAAAGCATGAGCAACAGCAGGCATAGGAAATGGGAGTTTTCTCACACTGGAAATTTCAGCATTCCCAGCTGCAAGGTCACTTTGAGCAAAGCTATTCCTTCTTCCTCACCGAATCTTCTGGGTTTAACCCTTTGACTCATACCTTGAGTGTATAAAAAAGTCCTTACTGGGCTTTTTGCATCCATGTATATATAGACACTACCTAGACAATGCAATGCAAAAGCACGGCCTGCTTTTGGAGAAGTAAATAAAAGCATTTCTGTCAGATTAGTTAACTTGGGAGAATGAGCTGCAGGATCAGTTTGTTCCATCAGGCTAGACAGATGGATCTGCACATGTCTGTATCCTCTGAGATGT